ATCGATTCCTTAATTTCTCTCTCTTCTGTCTTGGTGTTGGTGTATAGGAATGCCACTGATTTCTGTGCATTGATTTTATTTCCTGCCACTTTACTGAATTCCTGTATGAGTTCTAGCAGTTTTGGGGTGGAGTCTTTTGGGTTAGTCCATACTGTCTTGATGATCACCACTTTGTAATATAGCTTGAAGCGCAGTTCTGTTCGTGATGCCTCCAGCTTTAGCTTTGCTCTTCTGTTTCAAGGTTGCTTTGGCTATTTGGAGTCTTTTATGGTTCCACACAAATTTAGGATCATTTGTTCTAGCTTAGTGAAAAATGCTGTTGGTATTTTAATACAGATTGCATTATATGTGTAGATGCCTTTTGGTAGGACAGACATTTGACCAATATTTGTTCTTGCCATCCATGAGCATGGAATTGTCTTTCTATTTCTTTGTGTCCTCTTCACTTTCTTTGATCAGTGTTTTATAGTTTTCGAGTACAGATCTTTTACCCCTTTGGTTACGTTTATTGCTAGCTATGTTTAGTTTTGGTGCAGTTGTAAATGGGATCAATTCCTTATTTCTCTTCCTGCTGAGTTATTGTCGGTGTATAGAAAGGCAACAGACTTCTCTATATTGGTTTTGTATTCTCTGACTTCACTGGATTTGTGTGTCAGTTCTAGCCTAGGGTTTTGGTGGAGGCTTTTGGGTTTTGTACATAGAGTACCATGTCATCTGCAAATAGTGAAAATTTGGCTTCTTTCTTGCTGACTTGGATACCTTTTATTTCTTTTTGTCTGATTCCTGAGGCTAGGACTTCCAGTACTGTGTTAAGTAGTAATGGTGAGAGTGGACATCCTTGTCTTGTTCCTGACCATAGAGGAAAAGCTTTCAGTTTTTTCCCCATTGAGATGATACTGGCTGTGGGTCTTTCGTGGGTGGCTTTTGTGATGCTGATGTATGTTCTCTCCAAATCTGCTTTGTTGAGGGTTTTTATCAAGAATGGATGCTGTACTTTGCCACATGCTTTTTCTGCATCTGTTGAAATGATGATAAGGCTCTTATTCTTTCTTTTATTAATGTGGTGTATCACATTGATTAATTTGCAGATATTGAATTATGTTGCCCCCCTGGCTAAATGTATTCTTAGGGGTCACTTGGCTGGCTTGCTTGGTAGAGCATGTGAGTCTTGATCTCAGCATTGTGAGCTTAAGCCTCATATTGGGTGTTGAGATTACTTTAAAATCTTAAAATTATTCTTAAGTATTTTGTTTTTGATACTATTGTAAATGGGATTGTTTTCTTGTATATTTTCTCAGATAGTTTATTGCTAGTTTGTAGAGACACACTAATCTTTGTATTTTGATTTTGTATCCTGATACCTACTGATTTCATTTTTTGTGTCAACTTTTATAGACTGAATGTGATCATACATTGATTTTCTTTTTTTTAAATATTCTCTAATAAAAACTGATCGCTTGTTAAAAATATATCATTTTTATGTGCATTATCTTATTTTAACTTCATATAAACCTCAAAAGTGGTGAAAGAATAAAATTTATTTTATGGACAATGAAACCAGAATTCTTAAAGGATTAATACTCTAATGAGAAAGTAATACCTAAGGTCTTGGGTGACTGGCTGTTCTGATCTTAATCTTTTGTGAATGATTTTTAATGTTACTATTTGGCATCATCCATATATTACAACATAACCACCATGTGCCAGCATAATAGAAATGTGGAATACTAGCCCAGTCTCATATCTGCTGACTCCAAATTGGAATTTTAACAAAATTCCTGTGTTTTGTATGCCCTTTGCAGTTTATGAAGTGTTGGTTTATAGCACACTGCAGTTGCAGCACTGTGATCATTTTAATTGCCTTTCTTAGGGTCTTTTTTAGTTAATTGTAAGTCCTCAAACTCTAAATAAATCAGATTCTTTAAAGTGCTGAAGTATGAATGTTTAAAAAAGCACAGTACAATTATCAGGGATATTTGCATCAGAAACAACCAAAAGAACCTTTTTTTTCTTTTTTTTTTTTTTAATGAAAGCTTTTTAAATACAGAATTTTGGATATCACCTCAGGTCTTTCAATCACCAGGACTCATAGGTATCTTTTTAAAGCTCTACAAGTGAATCTGATAGGTAAACTGTCCTAAGAACCACTGAATATAGAAATGTATGTTAATTTTCTTGGGTTATCATACCATTTTTGGCTTTGAGTTGTAGTGTTTAACCTTAAAGGGATCCCATTACATCTTTTTTTTCTTTACTTTTTTCTTAGCTTTTTTCTTTTATTTCTCTTATTAAAGTGAATAGTGTAAGTATTTTTTCTAGGTTAAATCATTATTTAGTCATGCATGTAAACTTTCTACTTGTTTAAACCCAAGAATTCTTTTCTTTAAGAAAGTAGAGAGTAGGTGAAGAAAAACAGGAGAATTTGTAACAGAACAGTAAGTGAGCTTTTTCTTAATATGCTAATTCAGAAGCAATTTGTGAGACAACTGATACTTTGGCCTATCAATTTGAAAGTTATTTGTTTATTTCTAAGGATAACAAAGCTGATGTAATTTTAAAGTACAATGCTGATGAAGCTAGAAGTCTGAAGGCATATGGCGAGCTTCCAGAACATGGTAATATCAAAGTTACTATATTTTCTTGTCTTATGATATTATTTGTTGGTGTTTAGATGAAGCCATTTTGATAGAATCTTGTCTCGTTTATATATTGTTTATGTACTTATAAAATTAGTTTTTAGTATGCTTGTCATACTGAATATTAATATTTTATGATACCTTATAGTATTAATACTTCAATAATAAACTAGAATTCTATTCCTAAAAAAATGTTCTTTTGGTGGAAAGTTTTATAATCCCTTCTATGTAGTATCTGTTAAAAGAATACATTATTACAGTGTTTTTAATGATTTTCAAGAAATTGTTAGTTTTCAGCTAAGCAAGGAAAACAGTTATGATACTGGTATTGATTTTTGTAGAAAACAATGGTCAGTTTCTCTTAGCATACTAGTCTCCTGTAGAGTTGTGTATATTTTAATTGATACTTCTATCTAATGGCAAAAGTATTGCATTTTCATTGTAATAAACTTGAGGATATTAACATAAGTCCTTCGTAACATCAAAGAAGAAGTGTACTATTTCCTAAGCTCATACTTTTCACTTGGCAGCTACTTTATTTTACATGTATCTTACTGCATTACATTTTATTATGAAAATACAAGGTTTTTACATAAACATGAGATTTCTTTTGAAATTGTTGACATTTAAAGAAGTGTTAAAATATGTGAGAGACCAGTACTTCATATTTTACTTTTATTAATTGAGGATAAACATGATTTGACCAACTCATTTTGGCTGATTAGGTAAGTCTAATAGTTGGCAAGCTAGCTCTTGTTCTGTTTAGAACACTGTGTATGCTCATGATAAGTTGTTAGCATATTTTTAAAGTCTTTGAAGCATACTTAGGAAATGTATAGCTACTAAGTATAATTAGAACCTGCCTGCTTTATTTACACTACATTTTTTTAAAAGATTTTATTTGAGAGAGAGAGAGAGACAGCTAGAGAGGGAACACAGGCAGGGGGAGTGGGAGAGGGAGAAGCAGGCTCCCAAGAAGCAGGGAGCCCGATGTGCGGACTCTATCCCAGGACCCTGGGATCATGACCTGAGCTGAAGGCAGACGCTTAACGACTGAGCCACCCAGGCACCCCTACACTACATTTTTTAACAAAATAAAAATATAACACATATACTCTTCATTGTAATGACTCAGCAGTGAACTTGGTATTTCACTGTGAATTCACTTTGGTGTGTTTTTCTGTAGAGGTTAGTAACATTTTTCTTATAATGAAACATTGGTTGAATTGAAATGTCACTTCTGAGAGTTTTGTATAGTTTGGTATTTTATACCAGACTTGTTTTTGTAGTCAATTTATCTAATAATATCTTGAATATATATATATATGAGTATATTTATTATGTCTTTAGCTAAAATCAATGAAACAGATACATTTGGTCCTGGAGATGATGATGAAATCCAGTTTGATGATATTGGAGATGATGACGAAGACATTGATGATGTACGTAGTAGACAAAACCTTGTATTTTTTTGTTTGCTTTGCTTTTGAATTATCTACAAAGAAACAAGGTCTTTTCCCCAGCTTTCTTTAATCTAGGAATGCTGAACACTTTAAGTATATTAAGACCACTGCATGAGTTTGAATATTCATTAATACTCAGAGACCCTCTAGTTAGATATTTTATGCTTTGAGAAACCTTACAATCCTTTGAAACATTTCTTTCTGCAAAGAGCAATATTACTAGCTCTAACAGTGGGTTACTGCGTAATGAAAACTTGCTTAAGTGAGAGTGTCTATAGAGACAGCTATTAAGAAAGGTAGCAGTTTTGAGAGTGTGCCTTCTCCTCAATGAAATATTAATAGGTTAAAAGAAGAATCTTGTTTGAACCAGCTTGCTCAATGATTGAAATTGCAATATACTCCAAAATGGAGGTCTGTTGTCAAGTTATATATTGGGATTACATTATTTTGTCAGATATCACTGTTTATTTTGTGGGAAATGGTTGTTAGTAATAAAGCAGTAAGTGTAACAAAAGTAATAAATGTCTCACTGTCTTGCTGTTACTGTATTTAAATAAAATTCATCTTGATTTTTCTTGGAATGTATATATGAAATAATTGGGATGGTGGTATGTCCTACATTTTATCAGGTTTAGGCTTTTTTTTTTTAAATACCTCTGTAATAAAAAGGTAGTTCAGAAAGCCACAAGTTAGAGTTTGATTTGATACTTAGAATTTAAAAATATGTAGAGTATTTGTTTCTGACAAAGCGGAATTAGCAAAGTTGTTCAAAAACAGAAAGCCAGTCTTTACAATGTCTAAAAGTTGAGCACCACAAGCAGTGCTGATGCTCATGCCACATTGGTAGTCACTAATCTAGAACTGGGATCTCCAAATCTTTTTATTAAGAGCATTTTCAGACATTCACAGAAGTTGAGAGTTTCTAAAGTCAAGTGAACACTTACGTGCCACCAAAATTAGACAATTTACATTTTTCTATACTTGATATATCACATCAGGCCTTTTATTCATTTAGAGATCCATATTATTTTTTAGTATATTTTCAAATCATTTAGATCACTCCATGAGTTAAAGAAATATTGACTACATACCTCCAGTGTAGATTTTTAGCAGATTTCTTTTTTTTTGCCATGCATTTATGGTATTTTTAAACATGAAGTACTACTCTATAAATGTGTACATTTTAAAGCATACCCAGAAGTAGCAAATGAAAAAGGATAAGGAAGAAATATTGTTCTGGTATTTTCTTCATGTACCTCCTTTGGGGACCCTGAGCCAGAGGATTTTTATGACTAAATTAATTTTTTTGACAGTAAATGATTATTTTCTGTGCCAAAACTTAACAGTTGTGTTGTACACTAAGGACATTTGATTATTTTGAAAACTGCGGTGGGATTGAAGGCTAGGTAAGAGCTGAACTACAGTATATATGTGAATATATAGAGGAGATTTTGGTTTAGTACTGCAGTTTCCCATTTTTCAGGTAATTTATACTGCCACATGTCTGTTCCTACTTGCAAAATACAAGATCTGTAATCACTAGCATGAAAAGAAAGAAGGTGATTCTAAACTATATTAAGAACAGCTTATATAACATATAACATTCTCAGAGAGTTCATAAAGACTGGCAGCCAACAGGAATTGAGAAAAATAGCATACAGCATTTTTCATTCAGAAGAATGTAAGTATTTTCCAGATAGTGTAAAGGGGTCCTTATTTATGTAATAGACTTTTTTTTGTATTGTAAGAATTATTTTTTTCCATGGATTTCATGTTTTTTTCACCTACAGATCTAAATTGAACTCAGAGTTTGTGAGGATTATTCTACAATTCCAGTTTTGTCCAACGCCTGTTAAGAAGACTAAAACTTCATTTATGAATTTAGTTTGTTAAGACACACAGATTTATTTTCATTGTTTTGAAGTATTATATTTCTCTAAAAACTGATGAAACTGAATTACTTTAAGTGAAATTTTAACACTTTATTCTTTTGATGTAATTGAATTTAGGAATAAAAGACTACAATATCTGCTGTTAAATAATAGAAACAAGTCATTCCCACTGTGACTACTTTATTCTAGTTAATGTGTTTTGAATAAATTGCCTTATCATTATAGGTTTTGATAAAGCCTTGTTTCAGCTAGTCTGTTTACAGTCTTTCTGTATATTCTAGTTAACTAGATGTTTTCTAAGATTTTTGATGTAATTTAAGAAAGGTGTAAGTCTACACTTAAAGTCAAGAAATGGGGCTATTTTCATATTTATGTAGTCATATGTATTTTTATGCTAAGTTTGATAACTTAAATATTCTCTTCATCATTATATGTTGCCACCATCATAAAAAAAAAAAAGCATTTCCAAAATGCAGTTTTTAGAACATGGGTTTGAAAAGCAATTTTCAATTTGTAAGATTAGTAGTTGCAAAACTTAGTGCTAGGTAACCCAACTACTTTCACATTCGAAGTATTGATATATTAGTTTAGTTTTTTACTTAAGGTGTATAGAAAATTTCTCAAGATAGCTTTTGATGGTAAAATAAGTACAGTATTTTTTATTATACAGAATAGGTTGTGTTAAATATGTCATTTATTGTCAAAAGTAATATGCATTGTAACCCATAGTTTTGGGCTTTATGAACAATTAAATTACAATGTATAAATGAAAAACTAATTGTAAGTTCTGTTAAACTAAGCCTTTCTTAAAGCCTTAGCTGGCTTTTATAAAAGGGGAAGAAAGGAACCACCACTGAGAAATATAATAAAATATGTTGTTGAGTATATTTTGTCCTTACTTTGTGTTATTGATGTATTTTATTGTATGTACCAACTTCAGTGTATATTTTACTACGAATTTAGATTATAACCCTTCTTTTGGACATTTTATTTTGAAGTTATCAATTAATAAGGTAAAATTAAGAGTGGGCCTAGTTAAACACTACCTACAGTTAAACTTTAATACAACTTCAATGGAAAAATTCATTAAGTAGTTTGTAAAGCATAGCTCTTTTCCTGAGGATTTTTCAGCAGTGAGAATGTAAAGAAAATACACTTTGACCTAGTTACAAAATGATAAATACAAGAAATATAAAGGGGGTTCCACATGGTTTCATCTCACTTTGCCATAATTTTACCTCATAATATGAGGTAAAGTTCCGATGCCAGAATACATACATAATTAAATCTCAAAATAAGAAATGAGTGCATAAATTTATTCATGGTTTTTATTCTGTGAAGTTTCTGAACATTTATCTAGGTGGACTATGTCTGAGACTGAGGACTAGTTTATAATATAAGAAACAAGCTTTGAAGAATTGATTTAGGGATTGTCCTCATAGCTAATCAAAACTTGTTGAAATACGTAGCTTTTTGTAAATAAAAGTATATTGAATTTACATATTCTCCCAGCATTTTGCCAAGAATGTCAGAACTTCCATATATGACACAGTTCATGTTAGAGAGCCACTCAAAATATCTTTTTCCCTACATACTTCCTCTATCAAATATAGCTTATCTAAAGAATTTCTCTAAGTACAATTACACTGCCAGTTTGTGTTTGCTAGTTGTTATGGTCCGATTGTGCCCTCCCTAAAATTCATTTCTTGAAACCCTAACCTCTAATGATGACAATGGTATTAGAAGTTTTAGGGTTAGTGCTATAAGACACTTAAGGGGTAGGTACCTTCAACAGAACCCAAACCATACTGGCATACTCATCGTGGACTTCCAGTTTACAGCTGTGAGAAATAAATTTCTGTTGTTTGTAAGCCACCCAGTCTGTAGTATTTTGTTATAGCCTGAACAGACTAAGATACTGATATAAATTTTTTCCTTGCTAGTCAGGAACAGTCCAGCATAATTGTTTCATCTTGGAAGTTAACAAAATCAGAATTAAATTATTAGTTGGATTAAAGTTGTAGTCAGGTATAGCATTGCATGGAAGAGTTATTTCGATAAATTTCATGTAGTAATTTTGTAGGTACATGATTATATTTCAAATAAGGAATGAAAATCTGTTACATTCTTTGATTTCCACAACACCATGGTATAAGCTCTGTCTGGAAAGGAAATCAAAATATTGAAAGCCAAGAAAAAAAATATCGTGATGTGGCACTTACTGATTAACTTGCTAAGAGGGTATACAATGATTTTGGAAGGGTTGTATTTTATGCACTGTTTATTCCACTTGTAGTTAGAGTATAAATATGTTGTATGTTTAGGGTGGCTAGTAATAGTTTTTGTAGAAAGACTGGTGACAGTTGACTGTTGACTTTTATTTTAAACATCCAAACTATAAAGAAATTCTCAAGGATTCTGTAAACTGCATTATGACGGACAGTTTTGTGCTTTATTAACGAATGACCATTGACTTTCTTAAGATCAAGCTAAAAATATAATTACTTACAAAATGTAATTGGTGGTCTAATTCCACCTGTTTTGAGTAGTGTTCATGCTGTCAGTATTCATAAATAGGTAAACATATTTTGAATGAAATACTTAGATTTATTGTTCATACCTTTATCTATTTTATACAGATTTTAATGACTTTTAGTCTTGGTTAACCTAACAAAATAAAAAAATTTTTTTCTCTTTTTTAATTGTAGTAAATATACATAACATAAAATATGCCATCATAGCCATCTTTAAATGTACAGTTCAGTGGAATTAAATAGAGTCACTTTGCCAAACAACCATTACCACTGTCCATGCCCATCTAATTCTTTTCAACTTGTAAAACTGATATTTTACCCAGTAAACAATAATTCACCATTCTCATCCATAGTCCTGGTGTCAACCATCATTATACTTACTATCCTTATGATTTTGACTATTTTAAATACCTAATACAAGTAGAATATACAGTACTTGTCCTTTGTGCCTAGTTTATTTCACTTAGCATAATGTCCTCAAGGTTAATCCATTTGTTTATGTCACGGTTTACAGGCTGAGTATATGCTCCCTTGAATGTGTATACTACATTTTTTTTATCCATTTATCTGTCAGGTTACTTGGATTTTGTCCACATTTTAGCTATTGTGAATAATGCTACTACAAACATTGATATATGGGTGGGGTCTTTGAGACTATGTTCAGTTTCTTTGGGTATATAATTAAAACAAATTGCTGGATCATACCACAGTTTTGTTTGTTGTTTTTTTTGAGGAACCTCCATAACTTTTCCAGAGCAGCTGCACAATTTTACATTCATACCAACAGTGCACAAGGGTTCCAGTTTCTCCACATCCTCTCCAACTTTTGCTGTGTTTTGTTTGTTTTTAAATATATATTAGCCATCCCGGATATGAAGTGGTATCATTTTGATTTGCATTTATCTAATTATTAGTTATGGTAAGCATCTTTGCATATGTTTATTTGCCATTACTATATCTTGGAGAAATGTCTATTCAGGTCCTGTACCCATTGTTGAATCGGGCTGTTTGTGTTTTGGTTGAGTTGCAGTTCTTATGTTACAGATGTTGAAAAGCCTGTTCTTTTCCTTTGAATGGCATTGGTACCTTTGTCAGAAATCATTTGACTTTATATGTGACGGTTTATTCTGTGCTCTCTAATGCATTGGTCTGTATGTGTCTTCATGCCAGTACCACACTTTTTTATTACACTAGCTGTATTGTAAGTTTGAAGTCAGGAAGTATGAGTGCTCCAGTTCTATTCTTTTTCAAGATTGTTCTAGCGATTTAGGATCCCTTGAGATTCCATACAAATTTTAAGGTGGGTTTTCTATTTCTGCAACAACAACAAAAATTATTGGGACTCTGATAGGGATGGTTTTGAATCTGTAGATAATTTTCAGTATTAAAACTCATACTTAAAAATACTGTCTTCCAATCCACAAATGTAAATGTGTTTTAATTTCTTTATGTGTTATGTAATTTCTTTCAGGAATATTTTATGGTTTTACTGTACAGGTCTCTTGTCTCCTTGATTAGGGTAATTAGTATTGTGTTCTTTTTTGACGCTGTTACAAATAAAATTGTTTTTGTAATTTCCTTTTCAGATTGTTCATTGTGTATAGAAATGCAGCTGCTTCCTATGTGTTGACTTTGTATCCTGCTATCTTGATGAATTCACTTACTGTAATGTTTTGTGTGTGCTTGGAATCTTTAGGGTTTTCTATATAAAATATCACATCATCTACAAAACAGAGGTAATTTTCTTCTTCCTTTTCAGTTTGGATGCCTTTTATTTCTGTTTGTTCCTTAATTGCTCTGGCTAGAATTTCCAGTGCTGTGTTCAACAGGAATGGTGAAAGCAGTCATCCTTCCCATGTTCCTGATCATAGAAGAAAGATTTTTTATTCTTCACCATTATGTTTGCTGTGGGCTTTTAATTATGGCTGTTATTATGTTGAGGTTGTGTGTTTTTATCATGAAAGGGTATGAATTTTGTCATGCTTTTTCTGCATAGAGGTAATTGATTTTTTTCCTTCATTCTGTTAGTGTGCAGTTCATTGATTTTTTTTTTTTTTTTTTTTGGTCTGTGAACCATCCTTGCATTCCATGTCTAAATTCCTTGCTCATGGTTTATAATCCTTTTAATATGCTACTGAATTTGCTTTGCTTTTATGTCCTTGAGGATTTTGTCATCAGTGTTCATGAGGATGAATGTTCTGTAGTTTTCTTCTTTTGCCTTTGTCTGGGTTTGGTAGCAAGATAATGGTGGTCTCTTAGAATGGGTTAGGAAACATTTCCTATTCATTTTGGGGGAAAAGTTTGAGAAGGATTGGTGTTAGCTCATCTTTTAATGTTTGGTAAATTCAAGTATAAGGATTTTCTTTGGAA